GTGTCTCCACAGTAGCAGGCAGCAGTCAGTGGTTTTGTGGTCGATTTGATCGACCAGCTCGGCTTCAGTTCAGTGCGAAAGGACTGTTTTTGGATTTCCTTCAGTTGGATCAAACCAGGTGAGTTGTTTCTGATCGGCGTGCAATAAATTTGCCACTGATCAGTAGCTGTGCAACAATTAAGTCTTACGATACTTATTCAATGTTTGTGTATAATAATTTAAATATACCAAAAATACATGCTTCACTACATGTTTGATTTGATTAAAATTTTCAACTTTGAATAAATTGATACATGAATATAATAAAAAAAATCGGAAGGCTTCAATGTTATTACAGCTTTGAAAGGAGCTACAGGCTAAACAATAAAAATGTGTTTGAAAATTTCTGGTGGGACAATAAGAAAAGAGCGTCCAAACTTCTCTGATCTGTTGCTCAGGTAGCTCCATTGATATTGAACACATTTCCAAACGCTATTCAGCATGCAATAACGCAAAATAATACTAACTAGGACCATAGAACAGCATCACAGCTCGACCATTTGCCATTTTCAACATCTTCACCCTGATGTTCCTCTGCCAACAGGAACAATGAAGCTGAGTTACGTCCTGCTGCTGGCCCTGGTTGCCATAGTAGTCGCTGACTCCACAGAGTACTACCAGGAAGAGGATTACTATCCTCAGGAGGATCCCTCCAACTACTACTACAGCAACAGGAGGCAGGGACGGCCCAGGAGGCAGGAGGGATTCGTCGGGTCAGTATTTGGATGGTGATGGTGGTGTAATATTGCACTGAAAACAATTCAACCCGCGGATTGCGAGTTGGCCCGGGTATCGCGGGTATTTTGAAGAAATTACCCGCTCTGCGCGAGTTTTTGCTGCCGGGTAGGCTGACTACCCGTTTAGCTTCCCGCGTTTCGCAGAGCATCCCGTTATCATCGTAGCTTTCACCCGCTTCACGGGTGTCAACGCCCGCTATACTCGGGTAAAACAGCAACCCGTCATGCGCGGATACATGAAACCTCCTCTGGCGGGGTCAATCACTCGTCCGCAGCGGGTTGTGGCCGCAGGCGTTACTCGCGCCCACGGAGTAAGCGCATTACGCAGGTTTTGCATCGTGTAACTCGCTGCGCCAAGGTAGGTGACATGCTATACGCAGGTTGCCTTGATCACGCATGTGTCATGGCAGATATCCCACTGATGCACGGCATTGGTTTTGAAATTAATACTTTTGACTTCGACGCTCAAACGAGTGTTGAAATGTGACGCGCCACAATAGTCGCTTTTCGGCTCGGCTGCGTGCTTGTGCAGGCCTTGTGCAGGGGTAGAGATGTGCAAGGCAATTGTAATCGTAACTGTAACAGCTGTGGGGCTGCGTTCTGTGAGTTAGGAGGGTACTTAACGGGCTTGGGACATTTGAATCATTGTTTGGATGACGTCACGTCTTGGCCGGCAGAATATTTCGCTGGAACGCTCAGCAGAATATTCTGCAGTCCGCGAATCTGGCGCATTGTGGTGAAGTTTGCAGACCGTTCTTAGCACATTTTATTGGTAAAAATAAGCCTGGATAAATAAATCTTTCCCGATGCAAATGAAATATTTGTCCAAACTATTCCTGAATATTTAAAACACTATAGGCGGATTCATGTCAATTGTCTAAGATAAGCCTTTTTACTTTCTGTATTGAGTCTGCCGTCAGTTCTTCATTTTAATCTTATATACACCGACATTTCAGTCGCTTTGCGTCAGGTCGCCTGTGGCGCAGATGGTAGGGCATCGGTTTGTAATATCAAAGATATCGGGTTCGAATCCCGGCGATGGCGGCGTTTTCCTCCTTGAACGCCGCCACTGAAGGGTACTTACCCTCCAGCTGATTTGGACACCCTACCAGCGGATATTTGTACTCGCAGAAAGCGAGTTCCCAACCCACGCAGAGCAGGTAATACGCCATGTGCGGATTGTGTACCCGCTGCGAACGGGTAGGTTGCCTTCTGTGTGTGGGTTGAGTCCCCATCCTTTGCGGGTTAGGTACACAATATACTCGGGTTGACAGCCTGCGATATGCGGGTAAACGCACCCGCTGGTAGAGTGTCAAATTAGGTGGTGGGTAGGTGTACCCGCCAGCAGCGGGTTTTACTCGCTGTACGCGGGTTGAATTGTTTTCAGTGTGGGAGGCCAGTCGACAAAGATTCTGCATCTGTCTTCCTCTTCTTTCGTCTTCCTTTGCTTTTCTTTATTCATCGAAACACTTTCAACGCTGGTATCCATATCCACAGATTGAAAGAAATGGTTGATGATAAAGTACCATCAATCTTATGTGAGCTGTATTCCTAACAATAAGTTTTTCTTTCAATGTTGAAACAAGACACCTCTTAGCGCCGCCCTTTTTCGATACACATTTCGCATCCAATGTACCCCACCTCACCCTTTCAGAAAGCTGAGGCGTTTCTTCGGTATCGGCTCCACCCGTCGTCAGTTCACTGGGCCCGGAACGGGCACCGGAACCGGATTTACCGGAGCCGGAACCGGATTTAATGGAGTCGGCGCCACCGGAGGACAGTTTGCCGGCCCCGCCGCCGGATTCGCCGGCCCCGGAGTCGCGGCGGCAGGGGGTGGTGGATGTAAGTTGACACGAGACATGGAACAGGGGCTGTTTTTTTCGAGAGAGTTTGGCATTTTCTATGGCCTTGGGCATTTTGACTCATTGTTTTTTTTACAGATAACATCGATAACATCATGATGCATCATGTAGGAAACAAATTCTCATAAATATGTGAAGACTGCATATAAAACAATATCAGCTGCAAAAAAAAAAAACATCTAAGAACCGCCGTTTTCTTCCATCGACTCCAAAAATTGTCGTCCTGAAGAACATGAGTCTGAGGTCTCGTTTTTCCCACAGTGCCCCTGCTGCCCATCCTGCTGGGAGGACTCGGTCTGGCCGCGCTGGCCGCCCTGATCGGAGGAATCTTCCTCGCTACTCAGCTCAACAACTCGGGCCGTGGCCTGGACACGGACGAGTGGGAGGTGGACCACTCGGTCTGGATGGACCAGCTCCAGAAGGACTTTGAGGATTCGTGGAACGTAGAGTAAACGGGTCTTTGAAAAGTCAGAGTTGTGCTTTGAAATAAGAAGGTTCGTATGCTACACTTTGCTTGCGAAATGTTTCGCTAGGAGAACGAATTGTCAGGTTTTCTTACGATTTAGTTCAAAGTGCATGTATCGATTGTTTGGCTTATGTCGATTTTATCTGTGATTTTACCGAGCATCTGGTATTTGACTCCAATACTGTGCTGCTTTTCATGTTCTCTATCCCTAAAATCCAGGTTTATATGTCCATCCCTACAGTCACCCTAATGTTTCTTGAAAACATTTCCTTATCCTCTAATATTTACCGACTAAGTTTGGCATTATTTTAAACACTCCGAATCGAGCCGGCTGCAAACTGAAATATTAAATAGCGTTTACTTTCCTGTACAAAAAATAGTGCAGCCTATTGTTCAACTTATACACAACTGTTGTTCAACAGGGTAAAAAATAACTCATAGTCATTCAAAAGTTTTTATTGCGTTAGGACACCCACATCTAAAGATGCCATTTTCGTCACCGTCTTTCACCTTATGTTGCTGCAACTGCATTGTTACGCAGATGTCAGGGATAATTGTTTTTGTCTGTTTGGACCGATGTTACGCTTTGTTATTGTTGTTTTTACTTGTTGGAATGTGTTTTGTGCTGTTATCCTCATTATGAACACGTGTATATTGCTAAATATATGTTGCAAACTATAAGGTATATTGGTTTATTGCTTGAGGCCTTCAACGGTACCCACTGGACACATAACTCAACTGGATCGCCCTGGATATATGAAGTAGCTGGGTGTCCGAATTTTATTTGAACGCAGTAAGGGAAAGAAGTGCCGGGCGCATGCCTGGGAAAAAAAAAACTTTGAAACGCATTAAACACAAAAAACGACCCACAAACATTCTTTACATCAGAAAAACATTACAACAGACAGCACAAGGGTAAAACGGTGACCAGAAGCAAAACAATGTTCTTGCGTTGATCACGCATTTTTATCGGTGTAAACTTAGGTATCTGAAAAAAATGCATTTGGATGGTACACAGTTTAGACTGATCGTCAAGCTCTTTGCCTTCTAAAACATCGCCACTCGGCATCTCAACCTTCAGGACCAACATTTTTCATCCTTGACCACGTTGTGATGTTCCGGTATAACGGTCAACCTACATCCAGGAAACTGTTTAAGTCAGCGTGCGATTGCAGTTCCAATACGAGCATAACCCTTCAGGGTTGCCGTTTTAGTTTCTAGGCGATACGTGCCCCACTGGGACACTTGCATCACAAAGTGGTCATCATACTCGGAATCATCAATCACTCTAAGTCACCGCGGAGCAACAGTAAGTCATTCCACTCAGTCCAACTTATCCCTTATCCTCTCATCCAGCATGGTTCTGAAATGGCCTCATTAGCTCCAATGGGTCTGACATAACTAAGTCAAGCAGCAGCGAATCTAAAGGCAGTTATCCAAGTTTCTCCATCAGGCTTGACGCGTGACCTTGTTGTTTTCTAGTCACTTGGAACGGCGACACATCTCCATTTAGCTCCAGATTCCGTAACATAACAAGATTCTGTAACACATCGTAAACACACCATCTAACGGTGGACGGTGAAGCAGGGCACTGGAGGGCATGAGATATGGCATACTGCCATATCCAGTCACGTGACCACTAAGAAGTTTTCCCTCTCCCTATGCTTTCCACAGGCCAAGTCGAACTCTTGGTCACGTGCTCTGCGCAAATGAATTTCAAGAGCCTTGATGAAAATACCACGGGCGCTCTGTTTTCACCTTTCGCATGACCCTGCTACGACCCAACCCTGACCACTTTTACCTCGTCTCTGAACACGCCTCTGTTACGACCTCGACCCTGTGTGCGCCTTTGCCGTGACCCCGACCCCGCGACCTCAATCATCAGTCTGTACCAGTCATCGGGGCTCACTGGTGCGGCTCATGTGTGGAAACTTACCCAGTATAGCGAGTCGAATAAATAAACCAGTAAGCAGTGTTGTCTGTATTTGTGTGAATTTGTGAGCGGAGGCGGACTGTGAACGGTGAAAAGGGCGACCAAGAACTGTGGACTTGTTTCGTCGAACTTTAGAAGCGCACTATAGGAGCAACGCTGTTCAAGGTAATGTCAGAACGATTCCTTCACTTTTTTCAAGACTGAGACATGTCTATAAGTAAAGCTGCATCAAACGCATGTCTCAATAGTTTATTGTGTGTTCCTGCCCTCCCCCTTAGGTAGAAAGTGACAATTTTAAAGTGGCAATTTAGGTTTTTTTCGCGATAACCCCGAACATGCCGGCGATGGAGAGCGAAAACTTGGCATCATACCTGATCTTTGATTCAAGCCGGATCTTTTGACACCAACTTCATTTTCGTGGCAGGTCAGGTCACTGACATATGCCGTCATAAGTGAACCTCTGCACGGTCTTCAGATGTCGCAACTAGGGCTACAGGACCTTGTATCCATTAGAGGTCTCACTCACAACTTGTATGTCTCGGGGATTTTTACTGAACGTCACATAAGGTCAGGTCAGTTACATAACCTCACCATTTTAAGCAAATGGGGGAAAATGAAAACTGCTATTTTGGAGCCGGGAACGATGTCAATCTATATCAACCATAGGGAATCGTGATTTCATGCACTCTTTGAAAGTTGTGATGCTTCACTTTTGCATTGTTGACCTTGCACGACGTCATTTATGACGTCAATATTGTCATAAGAGTTTTTCGTCCATAACTCCTAATCATATTGAGCTAGCGAGTCCGGAAAGCCACCAATGAAGTCGCGAAGACCTGCCAAATCGAATGACTTGCGACTTGACCTTCTTCGACGAAGTTCGTGACCTTGGGCTCTGACCTTACCGTGACCCGAGGTCAATACCTCAAGTTGACCTCACCAATTTAAAGTATGCCATTCGACGCGCCAGAGCAAGGCAAATCGCGGCTCCAAATCGCGGCTCTGAGACCATTTTTTGCGAAGTTTTTTTTTGCCAAAACCCGAACCCGTACCTTGGGCCACTTGACCTGGCCTCGAAGGTCACCGGTTGACCTAGGACCTTAAAATCGGATACCGATCGCTAAGTCTCGTAACGGCGCCTACGCTCGTTTGTTCCGCGACGCTCTTGCTCCATCAGGGGCGAAACGGCGAGGGGGTCGTACCCACGCTCTTCGGCCGGCGCGTATGTAGAAAACCAATAGGTCCGGCGAGGGTCTAACATTTGACCTGCGCTGACCAAGTCAACCTTGCTTCAGTTTTTTTTTTCAGTTGAAATCTTTATTTTGCCGTTTCTCCGTTTTTCTACGACCACCTTTTTTGAATGCAAAAAAGGGAGATAATCTAAACCCTCCAGCGACAAGCGTACTGCTGAATGCTCTTAGTGCCGGTTGTCCCTAAAAAGTTGTCATTTGGGTATAGTGAGATCTTAAAATGATCCACTGTGGTCAAACCACACGAAAAACAAACGACAGGTGATAGATGAAAAAATGAATAATGGTCTGAACTTGAATGCTCAGTTATTAACCGTAAATTACGGCTGTGGTTATGCTGCGTCATCTATTTCAACAAAGCTACGGACCCTCGCCTCCACTGAAACTGAACGAAGTGCAGCTCGAGCGACGGCAGCGACACCTACAGTGAAAATGCGCAAACTCCATGCTGTCGCTAGCGTCAAGAAGGGCAATGCTTCCTACGTTACAATTGACGCTTAATGTTTCTGTTGCTATATTTTTAGAGTTTTATAGTACCAACTCTCCTTTCAAAAATGAATGTTCTTTTTCTAAAATAAGTCACGTGACATTGACCTGTGTCTGATTGGCGTAAAATCTAGCGATCAGTCGCCTCAGTTCTAATGTGGCCTTGCCTCAGTTGACATGCGTTGCCGACCACCTTGTTGTTATATTGCCCGAGTGTCGCTGGCTACCTATTCAGGCGTGATTTCTTTTCTTTAGGACCAGCCCATCTCATCCTCGATCACAATTTACTACCGGTTCTGTGTTGACGTCGCACCAGCGGGCAGCCGGTGAGGGCGGTGGCCAAGAAAGCGTCCTTCCAGTCACCATACTCCTTTATCCGTCATACCTCTCGTCATACCGCTTTTCATACCGCTCGCCATGCTCACCACCGAGTACCTCCCCCTGGTCATGTCATCTAACGGCGCTTGCCCGTGGCTAAATGGTCTAAATATCGCAAAAGAATCTCACCCAATAATATGGTTATTGCAATTTTGTTGTCCGATAGCTATTTGATGTTTTTGCTTGAATTTTTTTCTGACATAGATTCCGAAAATGTTGCGTTTCTGACTTGACTTACGATCTGTGGCAGTGGCCGCACAGAAGCCAGGTAACGTGAGTGAGCGGAGGGGACCGTGTCCAGTCGTGAGGGCACGTTAAACGTTCGGACAAAATTCTGCCATACAACTGGAATTGCGCGATCGGGTGGTGGGGTCAGGGTCAGCACAACAAGCTATGCTTAGTGCGGGCTCTGATTCCTCAAATCCGCCCATTCAGCCATTCGGACTAAATTTATTTTAAAAAAATCTATGCCATTTTCGAAATATGCTTTTGCAAATAATCATTCAACCTGTTGTATTCATGACCAGAAATAAATAGCGTGTTGCGCGAGTGTACGGGCTTCGAACAAGTGATGGTGCAACACACAACTTGATAAATATCCTGTTTATGTCAAGCATATTGTACATTTGACTGGAAATCGAGTAATGCGTATGGCGACCTGACATTTTCTGTTACTTGTTTGTTTTAAACATAAGCGATACGATAGTGCACACATCGCAAAAAAAGGAAGACAGATTATGAACACAGAAGTCATCGCTCCATGCTCAACAAGCCGACAGCATGTATAACTAAAACAATCAACAGTTCTTCAGGCATCGCGATATTGCAACAATGACAAGCGTAAGCAGGTATCATACAAGATATTATGTCATGACAAAGCGATGCAGAAGAAATAAAAGCGGTTGGTGTTATCTGTCATGTGGTTCCTAAAAGGAAATACAAAGCGACTAGAAAGCATGTCATCAATTCAGAATTTCGTCCCAAAGATGTATGAGCGCTGTTTTTCCGATAAAGTACAAAACAAAAAACAATTAATGTTGGAAAGCTAAAATAAAAAGATAAGAAAACAATTAGATCGACCAATGGAAAGACATAGAAGACGAATGTGTTCACATGAAGCCAAAGATGTTGGAGAAAAACAAAACAAAAACAAAATTGCATCGGTATGTTTTAATTACAAAGATAGAAAATAGGCAGACGATGGAATAAATTAGAGACATTTCAATGCAAATGATGGAAGGCTTTTTCACAAATTAGTTTTGCATGTTACCTTCATAAAAGGAAAGCGCAAACGACTTATAATATACAGTGCGGTGCCTGACAGGCAGACTTGAAGTTATCATGTCATGTTTGGGAAATAAATATCTATAGGAAAGATAATGACTTGATTGCGACAGCTAGGCAAGACCATAAATAACACATTCAACTTGTCGGAGCCACACACGCAAACATCACTCATGAAAATGCACGCCAATCGGCGTACTTTCCCGGTGACAACATCCACACTGGTAACACAACAAGTAACAAAAGGCGACGCACGTGAGCCAACGCGACTAACTGCCGCCAATCGGTCGCCGAACGTTCGTCTGCACACACAGAAGCTTACTCGGTGCTCCACGAGTCTTCAAAGTCCTTCTGGAGCTGGTTCATCCAGACCGAGTGGTCCACCTCCCACTCGTCCGTGTCCAGGCCACGGCCCGAGTTGTTGAGGTCAAGACTGCCGATGGCGGCCACCAGGGCGGCGCCACCGAGCCCCACCAGCACAATCGGGAGCAGGATCGACCCCAGAGAGTCCGCTGTCAGAGTGCGGGGAGAGAAGGGGTCAGAGACAAAAATAGAGACGAGAGACACACGGTCGCCACAGACAAAGTTACATTCAAAGAGTCAGCTATCGATGGCAATCAGTGGCATGTGATTTGAGGCATCCTCAAATTCAAAGGTGGTTAATGTTGAGATAGCTAGGTTCAAAAGTGGTTAACCCGGCACCGCCTGGGCTATTTCCGTACCCACGACAGCCTGGGGGGGGGGGTCGGATCCGACCCCCCCCCCCTGTTATCTCGAGAACCAATGGTCGTATCGAGCCCCGCGAGGCGGCGTTCGAAAGGTCTCTACGAGACCTTCCCAAAGCACTCTTAAGATTTTAAGATTGAGGTCAACTTTCGGGTCAAGGTCAGGTCAGGGTTGTATACCAATCAAGTCGATTGAATTGATTGATTTGTTTCAACGCGTATTTTGAGTTGATTGGATTGAGTCGATTGACTTTTCGAGATGACTGGTTGACTGACTCGTTTGACTTTAGCGACTGGTTGACTGATTTGATTCCCGAAAATTAGAGTGACTCGTATGATTGAGTCGATTGAATGGAAAGTTCAAATAAGTTTTAGTTGATGAAAAATAATGACACCAACTGATGACATCAAAGATCACAAAACTACACTGAAAACTGCTTGTCAATTGTCATCACAACTGCAATATGAGGTCACGGCCAAATAAAGAACAGGGCCTAAACATGAACGGCCAACTTTGACTTTCAACTGCAATAACTCATAACTGCTCCAATCCTGGTGATAGAACCTAGCGATGCACCTACCTACCTTTCTGCACTCAGCAGGAAACGTTTTTTTTCTTTTAATCCAGATGATAAAGTGCAAGGCCCTATATACTAATAAAGTGTGATTAATTAATAATTCACATCTCCACATCTCCTCAGAAACAACCCACTGAACTCTATAAATATCTGAAACCCCTACAAAAATAACTGAAACAAAAGAGCCGTTTTCGTCTCGCTAATTACGTTTACGTATACCAATTAATAGCTAATTTGCTGCATTGTTTAAATTGCAGCAGAACGTTTGTTGATCCTTTTCTCCTGAGAGCCTAAGCATAACATATTTAATATATTTCATTTTCCTTTAAATATTCTACCGAATATTATTAAGTGGTTTCATTTCAAATGAAATGATAATTAAAACGAAATTGGTGTTGTACAACCGATTTATTTTATGATGATCTACCATAGAACATGATAATCAATGACGTCATCTTACAAAA